CCAAAATTCACGACACCAAAACCATCATCCAATATGACCACTCCTCCAACGTTGCGGCGGACTCGCCTCTTATGGCACAACCATGCATCCGTTCATATCATGTTTCTCTTCCCTGCCTTGGACCTTGGGGTATCACCAACAAGACAGTCACAATCAAATGATACATGAGTGTCAAACAGAGATGCTTGCCCACATCAAAAACAAAGTCAATGCAAAAGTTCTCACCTGGAAAAACAAACTCCTCTCCAAAGCTGGTAAAGAAGACCTCATTCAATCTGTCGTCTCCATCCCGAACCCTCTCTATTGGTCCGACTGGACACTATCCCGTCAAAACAGCATATAGAGGAGATTCTAAAAAACCTGCACCCCGCCTTGCATTCATCATCATACAAGTTGGTGAGCAGCGAACAACATCCTTCCATGCCGCGACCGTCTTCAAACCCAAAATGTAGACATTCTCGCCTCTCTGTCCGCTTCGCAACGCCGAAACAGAAACTGCCCATCACCTCTTCGTTGGTTGTGATATTGCTCAAGCCATGTGGGTCTCCTCCCCACTTAAATGGTACAATCTGCCTTCCACACCTTTCCAAGAATGGTTATTACAGATTTTATCCCTCTTCTCAGCCCAGGATATCTCTCTCACCTTTTTTATCCTCTCTGCCATCTGGAAGTCACGGAATGATGTCATTTGGCACCAATGAACCCCATCCGCTATCTCAACATGGCACACAGCATGGTATCTCTTCAAGGACTGGCAGCAACCCACGTCTACTCCCCCAGCCACATCACATGGCCCCCATTCATGGTCCAAGCCTCCCAAAGGATGGATGAAGATCAACGTCAATGTGGATACTGTACGGGGCTTGTGTGGATAACAGGAGAGCATTCCATGCAGCTAGCAACCTTAATAATCATCATTTCCATACCCCAAAGGTCGCAGAAGAACTGGCGACGAAGGAAGGCTAAAACATATCCAATAGCGGAACATCATCATTGAGTCGGATTGCATCCCCTTAATTAAGGCTCTCCAACCTCAACACGTTGGCGACCTCTCACTTTTAGCTCATACTATTCCTAATTGCAAATCACATTATTATTATTATTATTATTATCCCCATTGACACTGGATCTGACATGGGGATATAAGGATTAAAAGGTAAAGGAATAATACTGTAAATGAACGCGTATCGGATCTTCCCTAGCCATCCCAGTGTCAGCCAGCCTATATCCCTACAGGGCCAGGTGGCTGCTGCATATATGCACACTATCTGATCACCATAATCTATCCCAGTGTCAGCCTTCCTTCCTTCCTTTGTCAGTTCTTTCATCGTGTCTTCCTATTGCTCCCTTCATCCTCTCTCTCCGCTGCATACATCATCCCTGCATACTTTTAATTTTTTTTTTACCTTTGGCGTTCATTCATTAATATATTTAAATTTAAATTCTCATCATTACTGTATTTTTTATTTACACATTAACCACCCCCCTCGTTCCTAGCTATAAATTGTGGTAGCCCCTCCACTTAAGTTTTTCACCGTCTACAATTACCATATTATTAGCATACATACATAGTTTTTAGTCGATCTTAAGATGGCCGCATCAAGTACTACTTTAACCTCCTTCAACTTCTTCTTCTTCTTCATGTGCTTCTTCTTCCTCTTTGCCCTGCATTCCAAATCTCATGATCAACCAAACACCATGGTACCTATTCATCATGATGAAATGCTCCTTAACACCAGAAAGGTACGTATTATTAAGAGGAATTTACTTAAATAGCTACATATTAGTATTATATTATAAATAAGGTTTACGTATGAAATATTTGCAGTAAATAGCACTACTAACACTTATATGCAGGTATTGAAGAAGTGGAGTGATAATGTTGAAATTGTTTTCAGCCGCAGTGTGAATGTTATCGGAGAGGGCGAGAAGAAGAAGAAGAAGGTGGAGAGGAGCTAAGGGAAGCGCCAATGGGTCTAGATCCTCTCCACCACCACGGCGCCTCCCCCATCTCCCGAGCAAGTGCCGCCAATAACAACAACAACAACAACAACAAACTCCACCCCGCAGATCCATAGGTATTTTGTTCATTCAAGTTCCTTTATTTTTATTTTCACTTGGGAATTACTTTGGCCATAGTTAGTTGCTTTTCTAGCCTTCTTCGCGGAAGTTAATTATGACCCATTTTTATATCTAGTCTTAAGGGCTAGTTAGTCTTTTTGCCAGCTTGTGTTACATATATATATGCATGAATTCTTTGAAATGGATGCATGAACCCAAATGTTTGTATGAACAAATTAAAAATGCTACTGCCTAGCTATGTGGATTATATCTAGTCTTAATGTACACTGTTTTTCGGTTCCTCCAGTACATTTAGTATGTGAATATTCGGAGTGTCACTATTAGTCTCATGTGGAAAATTAAATTTGTACTCCTTCACATATAAATATCTTTATAATTTAATTTGACTTTCACAGAGTTTAAATATTTTAGAAAAATACTTAAAAACTCTCCTTCCATCCATCATTGAGTCGGATTGCATCCCCTTAATTAAGGCTCTCCAACCTCAACACGTTGACAACCTCTTACTTTTAGCTCATACTATTCCTAAGTGCAAATCCCTTGATTCCTCTTTAGATGCAAGCATTTCTTTTCCTTTTGCTTATCATTTAGCAAACACAGTCACACTCTTGCCCAGGCAATTAGTTCTCCTCTAGATGCTGGGGATTGGTTACATGCC